GCACTCCTAGGACTAGGACTACTCTTCCTTTAAAATCACACACCACAGCAGCTTTTCCACAAAGGTGGCCCCTCTGCTCCGGGAGAGAGTATGCTATCAATATGTTAAAAGGTATTACCCTCAAATGTGTGTATCTTTTTGCTCAGACATAAACCCTGCCTGAAGATTTTCTTCATGAAAATCCAAGGAACATTTCTCAGTTCAATGACCTTAAGCGATGATTTTGAATTACTTCCACTCATGAAAGAGAAGGAATGCATTTTTCTCCCCAGGATCTATAAACGGAGGCTGAAGGAAGTATAGGATCCAGAGTAAGAAGATTCAAGTTTTAGACTCTGCCTTGAACATTCTATCAAGGTCCCCAAGTCTGTGATGGTGCAATCTGGACTGTATTCTCGCTTGCAGGGATTCACGGGATTGTCTCACAGTGAACATCATTGCACTATGCAGCGAAGGATTTTTAAAGAACAATGAGAAAAATATGTAAATGAAATGCTGCTGCACATGCACTCCTAAGTTTGAGTTTGCCATGAAACTGACAGGAGTCTTGTGTTCTTCCAACTCGGGGACAAATAAGCCAAACAATGTCTTCCAAGGTTTACTGTACTCAGAGATACGTAAAGGGTAGAGATGAGCGGTAAAGAGGAAAATACACACAGAACCTAGTAACAGAAGACATATTGATTACAAAACGAAACAGAAGGTTTACATGGGGTTAAAGAAATGAAATGGAGAGATAATGTCTGTGTCTGTTTTTAATGAGGGTTGAGTTGCTTCCTCTAGCAGATCTAGAATGAAGACTGCAGACAAACCAGGCAGGAATGAAATGGTCGCTGTAGAGGCCCCCAGGCAATTAAAGCACATTCAGGAAAGGGCTGATGTATGTTTGTGGTGTGGTGGGAGAATACCCAGTCTGACACTGAGTCAGCAGAAGCATTGCCTGGTGCTCCCTTCTCTGGGGAAGGCAGAGACGGGCTGCACGTTAGCATGGCTCCTGACACCATGGGAAGGTGTGTGTGGAGTGAGGATGTAGTATGTCCTGTAATAATCTACACGTCCATAGGTTACCACAGCTGCCTGAAAGGAGTGCTCAGGAAGCAAGAAACTTAGAGGTGATTTTCTGTTGGCATTCACAGAAGAGTGGACGCTGAGAACCAAGCCTGAGAAAAGAGAAGAAAAAGCTCTGGGGTTTCCCAGTCCCTAACGAGTCTTTGCAGTTGTACATTCACAGAAACCTGGAGTTTTGTCTGAATTTGACAGGATTTTCCTTATGTTTCAAATGTGATCCATGGAAAATGCTTGTATTCATTATCTTTAAAGATCTTGGATAGTAGTGCCTTGAATTTAGTATATCCTTAATGAATAATTACCAAGTGAATGAATCAACCATGTTCCCAAATGAGGAATGTGTCTTACATTAATTAAAATAGGAGTCAATAATGTGCACAATACAGCCTATATTTTCTTTATTACTGCCATTTGGCAAATTGAGGACACGCTCTAGCAATTCAAATCTCCCTCTGAGGTAAGTTTAGTAGCTATCATGATAGATTTTGGCAGCTCTCTCCTGGGGTCCCCAAGGCTCACTAAACATTTTAGGAGGACGCCGGACATTATCCTAGTGGCCGGTGAGATAACCCACTTCCAAGTGTGGGAGAGGAAGCGTGGCCCTGCCCGTTGGAACCAGTGAGCTCTGTACTGAGGTCTCAAATGAGTGCTGATGGCGTGAGGGACCGAGGGAATGCAGTCTGGCTCCTTTTTACTTGGTTCAAACTCCAGGTTTTTTATTCCAGAGTTGTGGAAAAGGTTTTCACTGCCTTATATGCTAGGGAAGAAATAAATCTCAAGTGGAAAGGGAGGCTGGGCAGAGGCTGGGGGAGACTGAGAGCCAAGGGTGGGAGGTGAGAAGGGAGGGGGAGCAGGCAGGGGCTGGGGGATCTCTGAGCAGTAGCCCCATGGTGGGAGCTTAGTGGAAAGGGGAGCATTGGACCTTGGGCAAGTTAGGCAACTCACTAGTTACCTGATAATGACAAGAGCCTTAGGATCACAGGCTGCGGACTCTGAACAGAAAAGGCAGCACCGTGCTAACTCAGTGTTGAGGCTGGAGTACAGGTCTTGGAGAAGCAGGCCTGCAAGCTTCTGGGATCTGCACCGACCAACATTTTCAGTGGTTCCCTCAATAGCATAGTACCTACCTGGACCCTTCCCAACTCCAGCCCACCAAGTCATCCATTCTGGCTGGTCGGGAGCTCATAGGCATGACTATGTGTGCCTGTTTTCAGAATGAGCTTTTAATTCCTCCTAAACATTTTTTTAAAGTTTTTTAAGGGGCGCCTGGGTGGCGCAGTCGGTTAAGCGTCCGACTTCAGCCAGGTCACGATCTCGCGGTCCGTGAGTTCGAGCCCCGCATCAGGCTCTGGGCTGATGGCTCAGGGCCTGGAGCCTGTTTCCGATTCTGTGTCTCCCTCTCTCTCTGCCCCTCCACCGTTCATGCTCTGTCTCTCTCGGTCCCAAAAATAAATAAAAAACGTTGAAAAAAAATTTTTAAGTTTTTTAAATGTTTATTTATTATTGAGAGACACAGAGAGACAGAGCATGAGTGTGGGAGGGGCAGAGACAGGAGACAGAACCTGAGGCAAGCTCCAGGCTCCGAGCTGTCAGCACAGAGCCCGACGCGGCGCTGAAACTCACAAACTGCGAGAGCATGACCTGAGCCGAAGTTGGACACTTACCCGGCTGAGCCACCCAGGCGCCCCCTAACAACATTTTTATATGTCCCCTTCTTGTCTTCATTTTCTGTGGGAAAGTTTCCTTCTCTTTCCCAGGAGACAAGCTCCTATTCAGATGATAGCCATCTAGCTGCTCCCATTGATAGAGAGCCTTTATGTGCATAGGCTGTACAAACCTTATGTTTAATAATCTCAGTAACCCATAAAAGCTACATATTGTTACCCCCACGATATAGACAAGTGCTAAGCAAGGTCACTCAGCGTGTGTTCTGGCCACTATGTCAGGCTGCTTCTCGATGTAGAGTGCTTTACAGTTTAGAACGTGCTTTCGCATACTTTATGTAGTTCTCCAGCCTGGGAATTAAGTGTTCTTTTGCCTCCGTTTTACAGAAGGTAACACTGAAATGTAGACAGGTCATGTGACCTGCCCACATTATGTCTTTCACAGCAGCTGAGCTGGGATGCAAACTTGTGTCCTGTTCTATATCCCATGCTTATCTAATGGCAGAGTAGAAAACATGGAGGCTCCCAGATATAAACTTCCTCCATTTTCTTTATATCCACCTTGGAATTTATCTTTTTTTTCTTTTTACTTCCTCTATCTCAGGGAGAAGCTGGTTCTATCTATTCTATGTTCTTAAAGGCTCTGTCGGTTGTTCACGAGTGGCTTTATCCTGTTCCATTTCTTCACCTTTCAAGTCTTTCTCTAAGCTCCAACCGCTGTTTCTAATCACCCAGTAAGGACACATTTTCCTTAGCAATGTCCCTGTATAGCTCATACACTGTTCCCCGCCCCTCATTAATCTGCAACTAATTATGTCTGCTCTGTTTTTCTGCGCACTCCATGTGCTTCCCTATCTCCATACTTCTGCTCACATGGATTAGAAATGTTGTCCTTTTCTCTACGTGCAGAAATTCTATTCCTTCTTTAAGAATAAGCTCAAATGTTGTACCTGCTATGACTATTTCCCCAGTTACTCCAGTCAGATTTAATGGTAAATTCTCTGTGTTCCCAAAGCACTTTGCTCACAAGGAAAACACATCCCTTACCACATGAGACACTTGTTTGTCTCCACCTCTGTTTCAACTTATGGGTGTCAGCACAATAGAGACAAGTAGAGAACTTTATTTACCTCTACACACCTGGAAGCAATAAGCATGGCCCTTGACTGTTGAATGGATGAATGCATGGATGTAGAAACGGATGGATGAACAGTGATTCAGTTACTACTCCAATTTTTCAACATGTCCCAAGGAGGGCATGATCTGATTTCAGGGTTTTTTTCCCCTCATTTTAAATCTCCACTATTATCCTGGGAATTTGTCTTGTCTGCTTTGTGAAAATATTGTTTTAAATAAAAAAAAAAATGACTTGCTGTATGAAATCATGGAAAAGGAGAGGGACTGATATATCATTTTTCTTGTAAAAGTAAATATATTACTGTCATCCAGGTGATCAATGTTACAGATAAGCATCCAAAAAACTTAAAATTTATTTTTAAGTTTAAAAAATAAGATAATAGGAATTGATCTTCTTATATTAATAAATTCTATGTTCACATATAACATAATAGCAAACTTCATTAGATTGGAATAATGAGTTTGGGGAGGTAGGGAGGAAAAGGGAGAACCTACGCTGAATTATGGAAGTCAGAATTTATTGTAAGCAATGCGGTTTTATTACTTTCAATACTATAACCTGCCCATAAAGTCTAAGGAGGCATCTACTTAATGACATGGATGCTTACTTTATAGCTGAATCTTTTTGCCTAAAAACCATTGTATAGGCAAAAGTCATGAAAACAATTTTCCTCTTTAAATAAGTTACAGGTGTTCCCTCTATTTCTCTTATATTAGCAATAGCTGAATGAATGAGGTTTTGCTGTATTCATAGTGGAAGGCCCTTCTGGGGAATACAGTCGAATGTCCCAGGAAAGTGTTAAATGCTTTAAAAATAAAAACAGGAAAATGCTATCTTCTTCAAATGAGATGAACATCAATTATTCATTAAGCTAGATATAACTGAAATCTATCTTCAAACTCTTTGGTTTCCTTTGTGAATTCCCCAAGGATCACGGTTTACTCGCTTCTCTACCCCACCTTCCAAGACTATACACCCCAACGATGGCACCTAGACTTTGCTTTCTGGTGACAGTTATCACTGTAAGAACAGGTGTTTAAAAGAGACATGATAAGGTTTTCAGATATTCTTGTCATTGCTCTGCTCATCTATAGTTACCCGAGATTCAAATATAAGGAAAGGTTACTCACTGATTCCTGGTATAGGTTGCAGGTAATTTACTGGCTCCCATCCTGGAAAAGAGAAAGGCAATTCATTCTGAGCTGTCACCACAGAGCCAGATGCAGGGCTCAAACCCACAAGCCGTGAGATCATGACCTGTGTGCCGAAGTCAGATGCTCAATCAACTGAGCCACCCAGGCACACTGTATATTTAAAAACTTTCTACATAAAGATGCCTCAATGCCTCTAGTATTTTATTTCTAGCAAAGAAAATCATGGAGTGTGGGGAGGAAGGGTCATGAAATACAATATGTCACTCTTGTGTTTCTGGGCTACTGAAGAGGTGACTGGCTTAGTGTCACTTATCAGGAAACTGGGCATTGCCTTCAAACTTTGCACAGAGAAGACTGAGTCTTGTGCCTGTTTCCTCCACATCAGAGAAATAGAACTGGGGACTGGTGGGGTAGTTGGAGGAGGAATATGTTCACTGGAGAGAAGAAAATTTCCCTGCATTCTTTGTGTCCTTGGATTCTTTGTTTCAGTGTGTTAACAACCAATCATATTTCCTGCTTAGAATCTTTGTATACATCTTTGTTTATATACAAAGATTATATTTTCTGCTTAGATTCTTTGACTACTTGGGACAGATCTCTCTGAATAAAATTGGTATTTGGAATAGATATGCCATGTACATCTCCTGGCGTGGAGTATCTGTGGCTCACTGTTGGATACCTTGATCTGTGAAGCTTGGAAGAGTAAACGAACTAAAATCTAGGATGAAAGAAAAAAGGCTCTTTGAGGGAAATGATCCCATGGATATTAAATCATCCAGAACTAATGTTCGTTTATTCTGTAGTAAAGAGCTCTAAGAAAAAAATCTTCGAGCTTTCCCTGAGCCAATGATTTTTCATCCTGATAATCAAGAAGGACCTCTTTCTACCAGATGGAGTTGCTAAATGTAACATAGCAAATTCCTTCTGGCTTAGTCATCTATAGGGAGAGGAGAGCCTCAACTCATTCGGGGAACAATTTCAGGGAACTGCAAGATGGTAATAATATGACTATTTAGATTTCTGCTTTCTAGATTACAGTTATAATTCTTCCCTTAAATAATGCATTATAAATATATAATATACAATACATATTATATACTGTATACTATAACACATATGGTATGTAATATATAATTTTAATGTATTATAACCTACTACATACTAAACTATGTTTACATATTAGATAATGTATTGCATGCTAAACTGTATGTGAATACATATCCTATTTTAAATACTTGTATATGTAATGTTTTGTTCTCTGTATGCTGTAAAATATCCCTTTCAAAGTATGTTGTCAAAAACTTGAACAAGTACTTAAGAATGGTGAAGCTAAGCAATGATAGGGATAACTCTGCTATCCTGTGCCATTTACATAACCTGCTATCAGTGTAACTCACTTATAATATTCATTTTCTAACCCTAATTGTGACAAAGGTCCTATTGGCTTTTGCCTTTTTAATCAATTTTTCACTAAATTTTATTTATGCTAAAATGTACAGTTTATACTTATGTCAATTAAATGCTATTCTCCCCTCTAAGATGATTTAAAAGATGTGTCTAAGGGCATTCTGAATTGTATTGTCATGAGTGTCCTGGTATAACGTATCAACTCCACTTGATTTAGTGATTTCTGCATTTTGGATGAAGGCATTTGTAAGTCATCTGTACAGCTCATCAATAAGTTAGAGGTCCTACAGTACAACTGATCCCCACGGGTTGGAACTTGATATGTAATCCACTGCTTCAACCCACTCTGATGTAATTGCAACTCTATATTTACTTGTTCACCCATGTAACAGTAGCATGATTAAGATCACACACTTGCGGCTTGGTGATAAGAACAGTGTTTAGGCGAGAACCCCAAATCTTCCTCCATAGAAAACTGATTTTATTCAGCACAGTTTCATTGTTTATATAATCTGTCACACAACCATGGGAGGAAATTAAATTGATGTGGAAAAATGGCTATTCAAAAAGCCAAATGTGGCTGCTCTTTTACCTCTTATGGTACTATGGTAAGTTGCTTATTGATTGCATGAGGCATTGGTGTCATCAGGTGTTGCTTTTAAGCTCTCTGGCTTATTTTTTTTTTAAATTTTTTTAAACGTTTTTATTTATTTTTGAGACAGAGAGAGACAGAGCATGAACGGGGGAGGGTCACAGAGAGAGGGAGGCACAGAATCTGAAACAGGCTCCAGGCTCTGAGCTGTCAGCACAGAGCCCGACGCGGGGCTCGAACTCACGGACTGCGAGATCATGACCTGAGCCGAAGTCGGACGCTTAACCGACCAAGCCACCCAGGCGCCCCTAAGCTCTCTGGCTTATAATGATCAAATGGTTTCCTTGAAAAACGTGAACATGACGGACTCTTTTCCCCATCTCCATGATGAATCAAATATATAAGGCTGTGCAAGGTCATCTGCCAATTTCTCTTACCCTTTTTTAATTAATTGTGGTAAGAGACAGCATGAGATCTATCCTCTTAACACATTTTAAAATGTACAATACAGTATTGTTTACTCTAAAGCACAATGTAGTACAGCCGATCTCTAGAACTTTCTTGTTCATCCTGCATGATGGAAACTCTATACCCATCGAACACCAACTCCCAATTCCCCTCTCCCCAGCTCCAGGAAACTACCATCCTCCGATTTCCTAAGGGTCTCAGGAAACCTGACATCAGGGCATAATAATGAAGTCCCGTCAGGGATTGGATACCCCTCGCTGGTCCTGTTTGGCTCTCCACACATCACAGACTGAAATATATGAGTTAGATAAGCGCATGTCTTGTACGTGTTATAGTAAATTTGCTGAACACAGGGAGGATCCAGTCCTACTCCTCTTTATACCTTTCCTGAATCTAGTTTTGTGCCCTGTATAAATACCCATTGAATTAAATTAAATTTAAAAATTTCTTTTCCCGGTAAAAATCTCTTTTCTGATAAAAAGAACGGAAAGTAAATGCCATTTATTTTTCAGTTAATGGATTATCTCATTAAGAAAAGTCCCCTCCCTCCCGACTTAGTAAGAGTAATGGTGTGTATGGCTCTTAAAGGCTTTGACTGTATCTTCTAAATCATTGTTATTCCTATGTTTTTTTTTTTTAATGTAGCCTATGATGTTGGGTTCAGTCCACACAGTCAACATAGACTAACTTCCTCACTACATGACCATATTTTAAATAACTACGAATATTCATTTCTGTGCAAATGAATTAAATCTCAGCATGCAGGCTTGTTTCACATAACAGAAATTAACTGGGTTTTGACCAGAGCCCCTAAAATTAATATGGTTAAACCTCACATCTGGTGTACAGGTTCTTATACTGTGGTTGTAAGATTGATTTCGATATTAAAGGCTTCGTTTAGTGGTACAGACAATCTCATGAAACAGGATCTTTCCCTTCTCAACAGGACTGGCTTCTGAGTCATTTTTGGTTTTGGTAAAGCACGTTTTTTTCCACCTGTTGAAACTTGGCATAAGCACCACACTAAGTGAGTAGGTCTAGAGCTTTGATGGGAAATCAATTTAAAAAAAAATAGCATTTCACTGATCCTTTTCCTCAGGGTTGGAGAGCTCCATGCATCATAAATAGCACACTGAGCCAGACAGAGCTCACATTCAAGTGAGAGAACACAAATAAGACCACAATGCACTTCTCTCAAAGTAACTCCTCTCGCCACAGTGAGAAACTAATCATGTTGTTTATCATCATCCTTACCTAGGAGAGAATAGCAGAGATAGGAAAAGGTTGGACAGTTTCCTAAGACCATGTGGCAATTTGTTGTTGAAACTGAAATAGGTTTACATTTCATGAATGAATGTTTTTTTCATCTTCCAGCTAAACTCTTCAGAAATGTGATTATCAATACCGTCAATTTTACATACTGGTATTCTGATTAAAAAAATGATCAAAGTGAAGTTTAGGTCCTTTGCTGTCTCATATTCTGTTGTTGGATTTAAAAGTTTATTCCAGAGGCACCTGGGTGGCTCAGTCAGTTAAGCGTCTGACTTCAGCTCAGGTCACGATCTCACAGCTTGTGAGTTTGAGCCCCTGCGTCGGGCTCTGTGCTGACAGCTCAGAGCCTGGAGCCTGCTTCAGATTCTGTGTCTCCCTCTCTCTCTCTGCTCCTCCCCTGCTCACTGTGTCTCTCTCTCCTTCAAAAATAAATAAATATTAAAATAAATAAATAAAATAAATAAACAGTAAAAAAAATTTTTTAAGTTTATTCCAATATTTTCTTTTTTTAAAAAAAAAATTTTTTTTTCAACGTTTATTTATTTTTGGGACAGAGAGAGACAGAGCATGAACGGGCAAGGGGCAGAGAGAGAGGGAGACACAGAATCGGAAACAGGCTCCAGGCTCTGAGCCATCAGCCCAGAGCCCGACGCGGGGCTCGAACTCACGGACCGTGAGATCGTGACCTGGTTGAAGTCGGACGCTTAACCGACTGCGCCACCCAGGCGCCCCTCCAATATTTTCTTTTGAAATATTAATTTGGTCTAACCTTCCTTTCTTTCCTATTTTCTTCTAAAGTTACTTGGATGCGCCATTATTAAATTAATAATAACCACAATAACATCCAGCATGTAATCCTTTTAGATTTAAATTTTTTTCCGAATATTTTACGATTATATTTTCACATCTTAGTCTACAGCATTTTACTTTTAATAACTCCACATTATTGAATCTTTCCAAAGCATTTTTATAGAAATAGCCAGTTTTTTAATGCACTGATATGTCATTGGATTACATAATTTATAACTGAATTGAATAATTATATGAACAAGTATAATTCCCACAGCAGGTTTGGGAACAAACACAACTGGCTCTTGGTCCACATATATCCCCACAGGTGGGGTCAAAAGTTTACAGGTAAGCTAGAGGGATAATAGGTGGCGCTCTTATGTTATACTGAATCGATCAGTAGGTTACATCTAGAGAAGAGAAAGCATTGCTTCACTAGGCAAATCATTTAAGAAAGGGTTAACTTAAAAAAAACCCTTCTATTGTATTT